ACCTAACCGTGTGCTTTTGTTGACGTCACATACATCATACAACTTGTTTAATACTGGAGTCTGATCATCTACAAGGTCTTCATCTTACAGTATCATAACCTTCAGAGACCCTGAAGCCTCCTCACATGCCTGCACGCAGAAAGTGAAGGACTCTGAGGCCTTTTAAAATACCAAATCATATCCCTGAATGAATCATACATTCAAACAATTATCACTATTATTCATGATTACATCCATATACTTTCATATTTAATCATTTTCATGACGTACTTGCACTACACTGCAGCATACTAGGCCATAATCAAAACATATATTGGAGGGGACCCATCCCCCCAATACCTCCCACAATATATTGATGTTATTGTTATTGATGGAAAAAAAGCCATTATTATTATTACGTCTGGTTCTAATTTTGTGGTGTACTTCAGTTCTGCGTGTGTTTTTTCCTAGTGGTGCTGTCGTACCCCAGGAGAAGCCTTTGCTCAACTGCTTTGGGTAGGTCCAATAAATGTAAAACACATGCACTGTCTCTCTACTTTATTACTTTTAAATGTATTAAAAAGTGGAAAACTACAATATTAGTGTCACCTTGGTCATATCACTATTGATTGTTATAGATTTGTTGTATGTCAAGTCATAACAGAGTCATAGTATTAAAAAAGTCATTAAAATGTCATTGAATAATGTGTCAGAAAACTATCAGTGTGTGCACTTTTTCTGTGTGGCCCTAAATCATAAACTGGCCCCCTCAAAATACTTTAAAATTGTCAGTTTAGCTCTTAGGTTTTAAAAAAATCTATCTTGGGGGTAATTTTCCCAGACATTTTATACGTCTTTACTGGAATCCAGATAATTGCCATAATATATACAACATGTCAAATTACTGGGCTTATAAGCACTCATTTGCTTTTTTCTCTTAGTGTGAATACATAAACATATTGTTGTTGTTGCTGTTTGTTGCTGCAATTCACAAAATAACCACCCAGTATCATTAAAGCTTAATTTAATCCAGTTAAATCTAAAAATTGAGCTGTTAAAGTGTGTAAATTGGGGACGGCAGTGATAAAAGTAACTCAGTGCAGAACTGTCACATTAAAATCAAATACCAAACAACCCAAGATGATGTAATTCACAGAGCGTTTTAATTGAGAAGGTGAACATCAGTCTTAATGTTAAATGTAGGCTAAATAAACTGCTGCAGTATCTGTGGCTTATACTCAAAGAATGTTGATCCAATTTCGCTCTTGGGAGGGCAAAACAATTAGATGATGTCTTGTTTGTGTGTGGCCTGCAGAGATTTTGACAAGAATCCAGCTGGTTGTGTAACCTACAAATTAAGCACACAGGAGTAAACAAGAGCACTTAATTGAAAAAGTGCTGTTAAAGTTAAATCAATCCTGGTTCAGGACCAGCTGGAGACCTGTGCTGATTGTCATCCTCCATCACTCTCCCCTTGTTTCTTGTCAGCTCTCTGCTGTCCACTGCCTAATAAATCACTGTCACACACTGATATCAGCATCAAAAATTAAGCATTGGTTGGGCTGTAGCTCTGACATTAACAGTCATGCCTGCTTATGGTGCGCTGCCCTGTTAAGACCTTGAAATAAAATCCTCAAACAGCAGAAAACAAAGAGGTGAGAGTCTTGGTTTGTTCATGGTGCCAGGCGCTGGACCATATAGGACTCATGAAAGGCTGCACTTAGCTGGCTGGAGCTTGGTGGTATAAGTTGTCTAATAACTGTAGTGTTGATGCCACATGGCAAAGTACTCCCGAGCAAGACACTGAACCCCAAATTGCTCCAAATGTACAACATGTATAAAAATTAAGTCACCTTGTGGAACAACGAGTCCGATAAATTAATGTAATGTAACCATCCATAGCATTTCATATGGAAGGTCTTGTTTTCTGGTCATAGAGATTAATGCCAGAGCTCATACAGCAAACATATATGTTTATAGATTTTGGGTAAAGATCGGTAAAGATTCTTTCGTTTGCTGGGGCCATGGCGTAAAATAAACTGTATCTCATAAGACAAAAGTTAAACACTGACTGACTCCTAAACAGAATGCAGATAATTTAGTGTATTGAATTTACCTTTTTTTTTAAAAAACTCTTTACTTTCAAAACTTCCTCAGGACCCTAAACCTGAAGCAGCTAAATGGAATTCAGCCATCATTAAAGGCGTAATGTGGATTCTTGACTGTCTTCTTAAAAGATGTATTGTATTTCTTATTTCAGATAAGTAAACACAACTGTGGAAATATCTGGGATGATAATGGAGTCAATTCTTTTGTCTGAATTTTCATAATAAATGTAGGGTAGACTCGGAACAGTTGCAACACTTTTTGCATTTCTCTCAGTTACTCAGAGACTATTTGGACTACATTAAAATGTATATATCAAACCTACATCTGCCTGCTAATTACCCATATCATTTAAACAGGATCACATATTACATATTGTTCACAGCAGTTATTTGTAAACCGTCCCCAGGGTTTGGGTCAGTTGCAACATGACACAGAACGCTTACAACATTTTAATAATAGTAAGTAATAGTAATCTTATTCTTTATTGGCAATGACATCAACTGTAGGAAACAACAGTGACAATTTTATATATTTTGGTGAACTATACTCTTTATGTAATCACAGTGACATGGCTGTTTAGCTTGGGGACAGTTGCAAAACCTTGTTGCAACCGTCCCCACCCTATTAGCCATGCCAGAACATCATGTGCTTGCTAGACACACGGACCTAGACACATGCTATAACCATGTGACTTAGACATCAGCAAAACAATGATTCAACCTAAGTAAGTTTTGAATGGTTAATACCAAAGGTCAGGATAGTGTGACAAACATGCAGCTCCTGAAAAATACTTTAATACCTCTAAATTAAAATACCTTAATTCTGTCTTCCCTGGTGGCTGAGAGGGTCTAACTTAGCAAGTGCAGTATCAGTGCCATCACTTTAGTGTGTATCTGACTGGAGGAACAGAATGACTCAGGGATGACATATTTATAGCGAAAAAGTATTAAATCAGAATTTGCAGAAGAGAATGACACATAGACTGACAGGTCTGTCACTCAATGTCAGTACATGATACAGTATATCCCTGTCTTTCCCTGTCTGACTTCATTCTCAACCTACATTAGAAAATTGCTAGTTACAAAATAAACTCAGCTGCATACCTTGAGATATGTATTTAGTCATTAGGGCTGAGAATGTGTTACTGAGTTACCGTACTTCCTTTATATCATATGAAAAAAAGATGAAAGCCAAAAGTTATTTCCTTAACTTCTACTTTATATTACCATTCCTGAAGTCTGCTGATAAATTCAAGATCATGTTTCGCTCAGAACAGTTTTTCATAAATCAGAAGTTAAAAAAACGTGTAAACTGCACCGTTAACGCAGACGAGCGAAGTATTAGCTGGGAAACATCACATTTATTCACCTTACATGGAGCTACAGTTAATACTGACTTATGTTAAATTTTTGCTGAATGTGTTAGTATTTCTTAGTAAGTCATCAGAAATCATCTTTAGAAGGCGCAGATGTTTACCTTAGCTCGGGACATGTTAAAGTTAAAGGGGAACTAATGGTTTTTTCAACCTGGGCCCTATTTTCCGATCTACTTTTGTCTAAATGAGTGATAGGATGTTCAATATTTGACATTTCACCAGTACGAAGCTAGGGCTGACCTGCCTGCAGCCCGTGAGCGTGTGCTATATTAAATAATAGGGCACTGGGACAGCATCAAACAACGTCAAAATACATCCACCAAAAGTGCATTTTTTCTCACAGATAGGCTCGGATTGTTAGTATAATTATCCGACAACATAACGGAAAGGAGAAATGAACGTCTGTGTTTACCTTTAGCTGGATTCGGACATGTTCCTCTGCCTGTTGCTGCTCCCTCTCTCTCTCCTCGTCCACTCTTCAGTTTCAATGAGCTCTGCGTCCGTGTACGTCCGTGTGCTCCGTGTTCAAATAAATGCGGCCGGTCATTAAATTCAAATGGCTCATCCAGATCCAGTTGGTCAAAGTCAGGTAAAAATTCAGCCATGACTACTCCAAACAGAGTAACTCGCGTTTGTAAGGTCACTCCAACGTTAACTTCCTGCAACAACTCAAATCTCGCGAGACGTGAGATTTCAGAGCCAGACTTTCACTCTCTGAGTGAGTGTTTTGACTTGCCCCAGCAAACATGTCCGAATTTGGAAACTGGATCTGGATGGACCATATTTATTTTAACACGGAGTACACGGATGTACACGGACGTACACGGACGCAGAGCTCATTGAAAGTGCGCGCTCACAGGCTGCAGGCAGGTCAGCCCTAGCTTCGTACTGGTGAAATGTCAAATATCCGAACATCCTATCACTCAACAAAAGTAGATCGGAAAGGGCCCAGGTTGAAAAAAACATTAGTTCCCCTTTAACAATATTTTAACGGAGCGAGGCAAGCTAATTGCTAGTGTGCTCGGTTGAAAAGGAAAATAAAAACCAATGCTCTGAGATGGCTGTCAGAGATGGCAGAGGTGTGATCACATAATCCCTTTTGAGCTATAACAGGTGGTGTGTTCCACGTTTTATTTTGCTCTCGATGAAGAATAGAGTAAACAAACTGTTACCACTGGAAATTGTTGGTTTCGACTGCTGGAAGTTGCACCCATAATTCACGCAAGGTATGGGGGCTAGGAATAAGGTGAATAAGAACTGTTGCAACCGTCCCCAGTCTCCCCTGTCATGGTTTTGTCAACGGACTAAACTGAATTTGGGGGACTGGTGGGAGTTTGCTATGGTGTGGTCTGCTTGTGGCTCAAAAAGCTTCTGGTTTCCCTACAGTTACGTACTTTTTAGTTTAGTAAGTGTATTTAAATAAACATATTGATGTATTACTTTTCTTTAACAAGTGAGCACTGTGGCTATCAGGATGCTGGTCTGGCTCCTGGAGTGCGGTGAATCGTTCCCTGATCTCACTGATGGATAAATCCCAGGCATGGTAGTCGAGCGCAGATAAGAACAGAGGTTAGATGGAACATGGCTCTCTCCAGAGGTTTGAGATGCTGTCAAAGGGTTTTCTCTTGGATACCTGTCCTTATAATAACCTCCGTGGTGTTGTGGTCGTACTACGCCTACGTCTTTGAGCTATGTCTTTGTAAGTACGAACAACTGAGTCTGTTTGTTGTGATTTTTTACCGTTTAACTGTAGACATCGCAGATTGCCGCACAGCAGTGTTGACAAAAATAACGTTATAGTCAGAGCAGGAGCTAGCAAACTAGGCGGAAGTGGTTTAGGGTGTGTGCTTTTATTTGCTTAACGCAAAATTTGGCTTTTAAATAAGTGGTACGTCGTTTAATTTTGCGTTGCTAAAAAGAGGTTCGTGTTAACTGTGTGTTCATACAAAGACTGGCTTATGTTGTGCCTCCTAGCTAACTTACAACCTGTCAACCGGGCTAACGTTAGTCGTGTTAGCCGGTAAATGTTTGTATAATCAAACTAGTGTCAGTGGTCAGAGTTAGCTACACTGTTGCTAGTCTCTGACACCCAGCTTGTGCTTTCATAATGCCATATTCCTGTTTTTTACAGTTACAATCACCAACACACTGGAAAAAGGTGAGTTAAGTACCTTTTGTTTGCGCTACAAGCAGTGTGTAAACAACCCATGATATCAGTTAATGTTTGTGCCCATTTGTTTCCTTTCAGTGGCCTATCTGGTTGTATTTCATATTTGCTTTGTGATGTTCTCCTGGACCTACTGGAAGTCCATATTTACCCCTCCTGCATCACCATGCAAAAAGGTATCCAAACTGTTGAAGATGACAGGCTGCTTTTTTTTTTTTTTTTAAATTTACTGTACCATATGTAATAATAGAATAAATCTATTGTTAAGCATGATGTATTTTTGTTACTGTAGTTTCAGCTGTCATACTCAGACAAGCAGAGATACGAGATGGAGGAGAGGCCAGATGTTCAGAAACAAATCCTGGTTGAGATTGCGAAGAAACTGCCCATCTTCTCTCGAGCTCAGTCTGGAGGTAAATTGTCCTGTCGAGCAATTTATATCTTTCCTCCACAAGGATATGATTTCATATTCACTTATTTGCCATATCTCAAAACTATGATAATACCAGGGCAGGTACATTAGCCACGGTCCGTCATCCCACACATAATCTGTGTGCGATGAAAAGACATAGGCTAGAGCAATTAGCTTTGTGTGTGCTCCTGAGGATCCCCATCCAGAGTAATCAGCCAATGCGTCTCTTTCATTAGTGCTGATTGCTAAGTTCTAGGCTACAGGAAGTATGTGAAGGGTAAGATCAGCTCAAATGTCGTTCATTCAACTGGCCATCCTGTTGTCTCTAGCTATCAGGTTCTGCGACCGCTGCCAGGTACTGAAGCCTGACCGCTGTCACCACTGCTCGGTCTGTGAAACGTAAGTCACTCTTTCCTCCTCAAACCATTCATCTAGAGAGATTGCCCCAGGCAAGGGGATATTTGTTGGCCTGGGACTGTTGTGATAATTAGAAGGTGTTGCTTTGCTGGCACACCATCTCTCAGAAAGAATATCCTAATGATCAATCAGAGCAGGGGTTTACCAACAGGAATCAGACGGCTGTCAGAAGACATGTAAGAAGGTTGTATTAAAAGTTAGGTTTTTAATGATGTGAGAAATGTTATTGAGATTCTTCCTGCTTTGAAGGGTAACTTTGGTTATTTTCAACCTTTCCCATGTGTTTGTGTCTTAGTGACTAATGGGAACAACAATTTTTGAAATAAGTCCAGTATTGAGTGAGAGCGCTGACAGCGGCAAAACAGGCTGCAATCTACCTACTCAGGGTATTTGTGCACCGTCAGTTATGTCCACTAAAAGTGCTTGTTTTTGCAAATGACAGGATCAGATTGTTCTTCAAAGTGTCTGATAATATCATGGGAAGCATTCCTAAAGAGAGAGACCTTTTTGTTAAAGAGAAATATCCTTTTTGTTTAACCAGAAACAGCCCTGAAATCACCAACACCAAACCAACCAGACTCCATTTGAACAAACACTAATTTTATCATTGTAAAACATTCTTCATTCAGTGTTGACAGAAACAAAATAAAACTCACAAAAACAATCTTGATCCGTCTTTCTCCTGGTTTGTTATTAATAAACCCTCAAATTATCCAGATGTAAAAACATGACTCTATACATGCTAAAATTACCATTTATTTTAATGGAGTCTGTTGGGTTTGGTAATTGTGATTTCTCAGCTGTTTCTGGTTAAACAAAAAGTATCTTTCTCTTTAAAGGCCTATTTCTGTAGGGATCCCTTTATTTATGTTGTTAGACATTTAGAATAATAATCTGAGCCTGTCAGTGGCAAAAAAACAAGCACTTTGAATGGACATAAATTTAAAGTACACATATGCCCTGAGTAATGACATTTAAGCCGGCTGCCAGCTGCTGCACTCTCACTTAACAGCAGACAAATTTCAAAATTTGTCGTCACTTGGAGACAAAAACATTGAAAAATAGGCTGAAAAATACCAAAGTTTCCTTTTAACATATCTGCCATACTGTCAAATGATATACTGAAACAAAATGTGTTTTTCTTTTAAAGATGTGTCTTGAAGATGGACCATCACTGTCCCTGGTGAGTAGAAACTTAACCTGTTTTTCCCATTTGGAGAAATTTATGCATGAATTTTGCTCTGACACAAGACTTTCTTTTTTTCTTTCAGGGTGAACAACTGTGTGGGCTTTTCCAACTACAAGTTTTTCCTGCTTTTTCTCTCCTACTCCATGCTGTACTGTGTATTCATTGCAGCAACAGTCTTTCAGTATTTCCTCAAATTCTGGGTGGTGAGTGTCATCAGTTATCACTTGTCACTCTGATTCTGGAGTCATATGACAAACTCAGTTTGAGTTGCACATATTCAGCAGTATTACCATTTCACAAGAGCAGAGAACTAAACCCTGTGTCGTGAGTTATACCTTTTTAAAGCCCACCTTTTTCTCAAGTTTCTTGTTCTCCTGTTTCTCTCTCCCAGGGGGACTTGCCAAATGGGCCCGCAAAGTTCCATGTCCTCTTCCTCATGTTTGTGGCGCTCATGTTCTTCGTCAGTCTCATGTTCCTCTTTGGCTACCACTGTTGGTTGGTGGCCAAGAACCGATCCACTTTAGGTGAGGATTTACATATTTTTCAGAGAAGATTCTGCTCATTAAGCTGCTCTGTCACTACCTGTCAGTTAGGCAGAGAAATTATTTGCTGGGAGGAAGTCTTGAGCTGTGAATGTAGGCCTTCTGTTCAAGTTGATGTAGAAAATTGAAAATATACTCTGATTGTTTACCTTTTCCAGAGGCCTTCTCAGCTCCAGTATTTGTCACTGGACCAGACAGAAATGGCTTCAATGTTGGCATACGCAAAAACCTGCAGCAGGTGTTTGGAGAGAATCGGAGGCTGTGGTTCATCCCTGTCTTCTCAAGGTGAGTTTGTGACAGCAAGTTACAATCTTGAAGATCTTCTTTTTTTCTTTTTGGCAGCACCTGGTGCCGAAAAACACATCAAGCAGTGGCGAAGTGTGGCCTGCAGTGAGCTGCCATGTAATATCTATGGAAAGCTGTGGTGGCTGCTCCGAGTTGCTGCTGTTTGATTCTGTGGCAAAGTGCGGCCAAACTAAAAGTTGTAGATAGTTTAATTTACCGCCAAATACTACTCATAGCCAATTAGTTAACAGATTCCTGTGACTCCTGCGACATGTTGATCTGTAACAAAGAATTTCTTCCTGCCTGAAACACATTACACACCTCCTGGCTGCAGAAAAAATCATTTATTGCTACAAGCTGCACTTTGCTGCTGCTTGGTGTTTACATATAAACAGTAATTGTAGGTGTTTTTTTGGATCTCACCTTCCAGAGATCCAAACAGTGTCACCTGTGAATTTGCACAGGTTATTTAAGTTTCATTGTCTAGCATCGTCTGTCGTCCCTAGCAGAGACTGGGAAATAACACGGTATGCTGCTTCACAAATCAGCAAGTTGAGGCGCTAGTCTGTTGCGTTAGCTCCGCCTACCCTCTCTGGCAGACCAACCAATGCTGGGTGATGAAAAATGTGTCACTTTATCTGTGTGGCATGTGATTTTTCCAGTGAATGCAGCCACAGACACCAAGTTTGTAACCCTGTCAGTGATTTCATCACTGGGCTCAATCACCACTGTGTTATCTTATTCACTGATAGTGACCTAGAAGACATTTATCTGAGATTATTACTTAAAGATGCAAAATGAGCTCATCTTTCAGTGGTGCTGCTCCTTTTGCATTTGTAACACATGGGTATTCTTGAATTTTCTCTATAATTGACATTTGGTTTGCAGTAGACAGAATTAAAATGCTGAACCAGAGAACAATAATACCATGCAACATAAATATATTAGGCCCTGAAATGGTCAATAATATATAATAGAAATACAGGGGATGTGCATAGTTTATAGGATAGACAACATAAAGTTGACTGCAGAATACAGAGTTGTTTCACATGTAGCAGCGTCTGGAGTTAATGAACAAAATGTAGCATGAGGGACTGGATCAGTGGATGGGAAGAGTTAATGGTCACGGTCGCTTAACTAGCCTCCATCTTCTTTTGTGCACTGTACACATCAGCCAAGGGAACGGCCACTACTTCCCCTTGAAGAATCGGAGTTCTGAGTCCCACAACCCCTTATTAGCTAATGAGGACATGTGGGAGGAGTCGGATGATGGCTCTGAGGAGGGAAGCCTGGGTGAGTCACTTTAATTTTGTCATGTCCATTTTTTTTTTACATTTTTTTTTACTTCCACATGGTCTTTGTAGTCCCTAGAATACAAATTGCTTTTCAAATTCTTAAATAATATTGTTAATGTGCTACTTTGTGTGTTAATATGTATTTTTATTTGAGTTTAGAAATGAGATGGTAATTTAAATGTCACTGGATGAACTGGATAAATATCTCTCAATGTGTCTAACATTATTTTATGAACTATTTTTTAGTGTCACTACACTAAATATAACAGCTAATCCATGGAAAATATATATATCAAACTTTTGTTAAACTACTATCAGTACAAACCAAAAAAAAATGAATTTGAATGTGTGGTCTGAATCATTATTATTAATATTATTATTTAATGGGTTTGGTCTTGCCTCTTAGCGCTCCTGTAGACACTGCAGTTGTATTTGCAAGCACAAGCCTTCCCCAATTACCACAATGTGAACGTGGTGTGAAAGCTTTTTTTTTTTTAAAGTTGAATGTGAAGGCGTAAAGGTGCAAATCTTAACGAGTCTCTTGAGCTGCCTAATGTCCCACTATAAGCACCACAATCTTAATAGCTTAACCAGTCCTGCTAATGAGGCTATTAAGCTACACTTAATAATGCATTACCAAACCAAACAGTTGCACTTGTCTTCACATAAAAGGTGAGAAGCATTATTATTATTATTATTATTATTATTTTAGTTTCCCCTGCTGTCTAAACCCACTAATGCATCTGCCACATGTACAAAGTGCTGCTGACGGATCGTAATGCAACATTGATGCCTCAAAGCTTCAGTGGCATATTAAAAAATAGTCAGTTTACCATGTCTCATTTCTTCTCAGTTCCAAAATGGTTGCTCCCCGAAAATGAAGCAACAATGCAGTTGATCTGGTTCCATCCCCAAATCAAAATTACATATATTTCCTTTCCCCTGTAGTGTTATTTATCAATCTAGATTGTTTTAGTGTGAGTTGAGTGTTGGAGATGTCTGCCTTCTCTCCAGTGTTATGGAACTAAATTGTACTCGGCCTGAGCATCAAAAAAAACATTTTAAACTCTGCATGCAATGTCTCTTTCCAGAAATCATGACCTGGTTACTCACAGACCTTGTTGTGGGCAGTTTTCTGTTGGAACTATTTTCTTCCTACTGACCTAAACCTGCCAGTCGAATCACTATTCAGAAGGAAGCGTGCATCTGCTGCTAGCTCACCTAGCAATACTGAGCTAGCTAACGTTACAGCTCAGCTGAGGAGGACGACATTAGTGTTAACATCTTGTGCAAGCACTATCCTCTCATCCATAAGCAGATGCATGCTGGCTTCTGTGCAGTGATGTGGTTGGTGGGTGTAATTAGGTAGAAAGAAAGCAGTTCCTACATGAAAGTGCTGTCAACAAGATCTGTGGATTATCTTGAGTAACCAGGTCATGATTTTGGGGAAGAGACATTGCTCAAATGTATTTTTTGTTGCCTTGGGCACCACAAACCCAGTGCCATCTAGTTCTATAATATTAAAGAGAAGGCGGACATCTCTATAGCTAATATCTCCAGCACTCGGCAACTCCCACCAAAACAATCTAGATTTATAAATAGCACTGCAGGTAAGAGGAAAAATATGTATTTTTGATGTAAGGTGAACTGTCCCTTGAACGGTGTCTTCCATAATTCAGTTTTCCATAGTCACAGCACTGGGTACACATGTAAAAAGTAACTCCTGTAGAAAGTCACCCTCCAGCACCCACCATAAGTGATGAGGAGGACAAACTGTGTCACCCTTGAGGGGAAAAAAGCTCAGAGATGTGATTGTCACTATGAAAATAAAAATCATGTCTGTGCTAAAATCCAGTAATCAGGTGGCACCAAGCTCCCCCTGCATTACCAGCTTGCTGTTTGCATTCTAACCACACTGTTCTGCTACCACCTGGTGGTCACATGCAACACAATGTTAACCACTGTATGAGCTGAATCAGTTCCAACAGACAAGTAATGCACGCTAAAATGTCTCTTTCCCCTTTCATTGCAGTTGAGGACAGAGACCCATCTGTTACCATAGAGATGGAGGAGGAGTAATTTAATGTAAGGACAATTGATGCTGGTACAGAGGATGTACATTAACATCGCACACACTGTGTACCACCAGGCAAATGCATTCCAAACCACCTGGATGTTCAGACACTGACAAAAATTCTGAAGGGGGCCAAACGTGTGGATTAAAACCTGCATTTGGACTGTCATTGCCACTTTTACGCGTGTGTATTACATAATGATGAATAGAGCAACTCAATGGACAACCAGTAGCATCACCTCTCCTCTGAAGGACAACACAGTATCAGTTTGATTCTGGAAAAAAAAAACTTATCTACTTAAATATTATCTTGCGTACAAAAAGACAAGTGCTATTTACCATGGGTCGTATTTGTATCCCTCTGGTTGTTCATCTCAAGACACTGGCCTCTGTGGGATTATAATTTACCGCTAATTGGGAAGCTTCTGTCTGGCACTGTACTACTTTATACGCCTCTTTTTCATTGTCAGGCCGTGAGTTTACAGTGTTGCACCTTAGAGCTCGGTCTGTGCAGAGCGGTATCTAAATTGACACCCATAATGCTCCAGAGGTCTCCTGTAGTGATTCAGTTGTCTGGCCTCTACCAGTTTGGGACATGCAGCATATTAACAGAAGATTTTACTTTTACTTTTTCAATGCACATAAACATATTCTAATACCTGACCTAACCTCCGCCTTATTAATATGATTATTCTTGTGTTTGGGGAGTCTGTTTCTCCTGAGAATGTATCCAGCAACCCTGCTTGTGAATACACTGTGCCAACATTTTGGGCACCTATTTACAAAAGAACCTCTCATATATGCTTTTAATGAAAACTTCACCCCCCAAATGACCATTTGTATATCAATTATTGGAACGTGTTATGTTGGATTCGTAAGAAATGTTGAATTCATTAAAAAAAAGTCACACAATGACACAAACAAACTGATCAGCTCCTGTTCTCAGCAAGGTATAATTTCTATTTTTGTCAATGGAGTCTTGAATAGAGCATAGATAAGTTTAACTTTAAGTTCAGTTCCCCGTTAGAAAGCTGAGCATACAACTGGATAAATGAGACTTGAATTAAACTGCACGAGTTGTGTGAGAGTTTGTAAACATATGCTTTTATATACTTTTGCTGTTGTTACGCATGGACCCCTATGACTTTACTTCATCAAGAATTTTCTCAGTTTTTAAATTCTTTGTTCACCGTGGAGGCATGCAGGAAGAAAAAAAAATGTCTTCCCTAATTCAACATTACACAGAGCGAGTATTTGATTCACAAATGGTCATTTTGTGGGTGGATTCCGTTAACAGAGTACTTCAACGTTATATTGAGATTGAGTTAAAACGCCATCATTACCAGTGACAGTAATGACAACAAAACTAGCATACATTGGCAGCTTTGGTTCGCAGCTGCAGCTCATTACGTTTGAAATTAATGCTGAAATCTCAACTAGAGTATTAATGGCAAACTTAATATAATGTTTATCATTTTTCAGTGGCGTCATATCCTAAATATATACTGTATATCATTAATGATGTTGGTGATTGAAGAAAATGCAGTTATCAGTTTGGTTTTACGGTTTTGAATGAAAATACAAGACATACTGTGATGAATATGTTTTTTAAATTATTATCACAACCTTGTTTTCTACCATATCACCCATCCCTAGCATGATAACACTTCTAAGTGGATGCACAGCAAAAGGAAGGTGAAGTGAAATGTCATCATAGGCACAAATCATTCATAGGAGAAGACATAGGTTCTTCTTCGTCTGTTTTCTTTTTTGATCTTTTTAAACATGCAGATAACTGTACATATATA